CGTGACAGATAAGTGCACGTTGCATACTGCTTGAGAATCATATAATTGATGCTGTACAAAAAATAAAAATAAAAATAAAAAAGAATCATACATTGATTACAAGACCCAAACACAACCAAGTTAATACGTATACGCTGTATACGTTATTACGTACAACTACGAACGCAGATATTCTTATTAAAAAAGCAAACCAACGATAGATAATTGTCACATTTTTTACTTAGAAACAATAACGGGGGCTCATATGAACATACTCGATATCATTTCTTGCCTAACTATTTTGTCATAATATATATAAAATACACAATACATTTACAAGAAAACTATTTCATATAAACTTGGCTCCTATATTAGACTCGACCTTGCTCGAGCCAATTTGCTTCACTGGGACGCCGCAGAGATTGTTGACGAACGTGGAATCTAAAAAATTGACTTCAGCTTCAGTTCTTGCACTTTTCCAGTGCTCTCGGTGCTGTAAATCGGTAAATAACAGTCAGACCTAGGGTCATTACACCACATTAATTAATTAAGATAAGATCTTTTGTGTTTGAAACTTAATTTGGATCACTAACCTAGCCCGATTGCCTCATATCCTTTCATAATGCGCACGCGCTTGCATGATTCCCCGAACATTCTGTGAAATTATCTAATTTAGTAAGCAATAATTACATAGTAGAAATTGTGGTAAGATAAAAAAAAAAAAAAAACAATATTGCTTGTGGGCTCGACCTGACCGATGGATGTATATAAAAGGGGGCGGCTAAACTGTAACGGGTAAGGACTAGTGGGCATCAATATCTGTAAGATATTATTAGAAAATCATGACTCACTATCACTGATTTTTTTTTTCCGGATAAACTAAAAATATTTTTTACGGAAAATAATTTTGTTCAAGGTAGGTTTGGATTAAGATTTTAAATCTTTCACAAATATAATACTTGGAATGATCACTTACTTTTTAAGATATGGTAAATTGTATGTTTATTTACATTTATAAACATGTATTATTTAATATTTATATCAATTTTATTATTTGATTTTAACTCATTTCAGGTTCTTATAGTGGATGGGCACCAAGCAATTTTTTAGGTAACATTGTACATATAAGTGTATAACGTTAGATCAAAATTTTAAGGAAAAAGTTATTTCATATCTAATAATAGATATGGGAAAGTGACTCGCTTTTTAATAATCTATTGCTTTCTAACTTTCTTTGTTTGCAATTGATTACAATTAACGAGATACTAAAATTCTTGTATTCACGAGTAACTAAAATTAACAAGTAAAAATGTTTACATATAATTGGAAAAAGTGTGTATTATTTTAAAGGATATAAAATTATATCATTTTAAGTATAAGAAAGAGATAGATAAAAGAGGAGAGAGAGAGAGTGAACAAAAAAATATAAAGATGTGAGTCTCACCTCTTTATGAGAGTGAAATAATATAAGTTGTATCATTTAAAAAGACAAATATTTTTTCCTAATTATACATGTGCAAGGAAAAAAGTCAAGTAGACTTAAAGAATAAAAAAGTACAAGCTAATGTCAAATTGAAAACTAGCAAGCCCATCAAATAAATACGAACTCCGAACATCATAGAACCGAACAAAACAAAAAAAGCAAATCAGTAATTCCGAGGGATACTAAATGATTATAATTAGCTAATTTCCCAAATCCTTTTAAAAATAATTATTAAAACAGTTCGTAAGTGTGTCAAATCACCTAAACTCTTATGAGACTCCTACTTAGGGAAAAGTATCATTTTGAAGTTTTTGGACAAAAGAATTGCCCGGTTAAAACTGATTGGATAAGTTTTTTCAAAGTAATGCAGTCAAACATGTCGCCTATGCTGACGGGACTAGTCTCGTCACTGATACTGACGGGACTCGTGCCACGTAGGCAATCCAATTACCATAAATCTTCGGAAGACCATAACTTGTGACTCGGGTATCCAAATAAGATGATTTTTTTTTTGATTTCACATAACTTTTTGAGATCTACGCAATGATACCTCGTTTGACATATTTTATCTCCCACAAACATAGTTTGAATTTGTAACAATTGTATCACAATCACAAGAGTGTTTATCTATAAGACTATGTTTGTGGGAGATAAAATATATCAAATGATGTGTCATTGCGTAGATCTTGAAAAGTTATGTGAAATCAAAAAAAAATCATCTGATTTAGATACCCGAGTCACAAGTTATGGTCTTCCGAAAATTTATGGTAATTGGACTGCTTACGTGGCGCTGACATGGCACGAGTCCCGTCAGTATCAGTGACGGGACTAGTCCCGTGAGCATAGGTGACATGTTTGACTGCATTACTTTGGAAAAACTTATGCAATCAGCTTTAATCGGGCAATTCTTTTGTCCAAAAACTTTAAAATGGTGCTTTAGCCCTCCTACTTATGAAATGAGGCTCCATCTAAATCCAGTGGATTCTATTGTAACGTTTCTGCATTTTTAAATGGAGAGAAAAAATTATCTAACTTGTTAAGAGAGCTTTTAAAAATAATTATTTCTAGAAAAATGCACTTGGAAGAGTTTTACAAGGTTATATTATTTCATATCACGTTCACCCCAAATTTCTATCTTTTTGTCTTGGTAAACAATACTACCGATGCAAATATTTATGGGATTTGCTTTTCTCCTTTTGCAGAAAAATTGGCCAACTTCCTACAAATACAAAGAAACAATGGGTTCCATCATTTCATAAAAAGAAAATAAAAAAAATGAGACACGATTTTCTGTTAGTGCAGGAAAACAAATTCATTTACCTCCGGCTTAAGAAAAAGTTTGCCCAATATTTATACATCGTATCTCTTACAACTATCCACCCTCTTTACCACAGTAAATTATTATCTTGGTAATAGTATTATGATTTTATACTGACATTTTCATGCTTCAATTAAATCCCACAAGGGAAATTTTCTTTTTGAATTATAAATTTATTTTGGTAATAAATTGCTTTCATAATAACAATAATCTTCTATATAATCTCACAAGGATCTTTTATTAAAAACAATATATTGCTTTTAAATTTAGTGGAACCCTTATTGAAAGGTTGGCCCACCTTATCACTTTGCTCCTTGATCTTTTGTATCACAACGAACCGGATCCTACTCCCTAATAACGTGATAGACAAGGCCATTATTATTAAACCTGAGTCGTTTATTGACCTGGTCGAGGTACTTGGTCACTTGTTCAATCAGTGAGTCACTGGTAGGGGTGAAACTGGGTCGGATTGGACTACAGGGGTCTACGGCTCGGCCTACATCAGCCTAGACCTGACTTAGTATATTTTGTATAATAGGCCGGGCTCGGGCCTTAAAAAAACCTGTTTAATAAAAAAGTCGTAGGCTCACTTTCATAAGGCCGGACCTATAAGCCTACAGGCCGGCCTATATTGTACTATTTATTTTAAATAAAATAAAATAGAGTAAGTATGTCTTGAAGAAAAAAAAAAGATATAAATTTAATCAATTTTAATTATTTATAATTTAATTTTATTCGATTATATTTTAATAGAAATCTTACTTTATTTCTTATATAGGAGGAACCAACATCTCACATGTTAGATTGTGTATATGAATATATTAAAAGATTTTTGGGAGAGGTTACTACAAGCATCATGATGTGTTTGTTGGATTCATATAATTATTTTAATTTACATAGTATGGATTTGTTTATCTGATGAAATATATGTTATTTAGTTTGAGCATTTTGCTTTTGAAAATGACTTAAATGCATATTGTATTAGTTTTGTTATGATTCATGATTCTGTTTGGACGTTGAAATTATGATTTTTGGTGTAGCAACAGAATTTGAGTACTTTGTAAAGTTGATTCATGGTTATGCTTGGAAGTTAAAAATTAACAGACTAACGGGCCAAGGCAATTTTTTTTTTTATAAACGAGTCAAACTAGGCTAACAGTTAGACTCATACTAGGCTTGGGTCAGGCTAAATTGAAATTTTTTGACGTAGGCTTGGGCTTTTCAGGGCAAAGCTTGGCCCAGCCCAGCCCACTTTCACCCCTAGTCACTGGTTCAACCGCATGACCCGTTGAGTATATGTAAATCTACAATTTATATTAAAAGAACTATAATTATACTTAAATACTTATAAAAAATATACCAATTTCAAATATTTTAATATGAAAATAATAAATTACACATCATTGTCCAACAAAATATCAAGAGTAAATACCCTTTTGGGTCCCTAACAAAAAACACGGTCCCCACTTTAGTCCTTTACAAAAAAAAAATTAGTCAGTTGGTCCCTAACAAATTCAAAGTGGACCCATTTTAGTCCTTTTGAGGGACTAATATGGGTCTTTTTTGAAATTGTGAGGGACCACGATTTCAACTAAATAGGTCCACTTTGAATTTGTTAGGGATGAACTGACTAATTTTTTTTGTAAGGAAATAAAGTGGGGACCGTGTTTTTTGTTAGGGACCAAAAAGAGTATTTACTCAAATATCAATCTAACATATAATATTTGTGATACTAGTGTTTCAGGTTCAGTAAACGACATCTCTAACTATAAATCAAATCAAAATTCCTTGCATATTGCATAATCAAGATAATATTAGTGTTGTAGATACATAATCTATGTAAGTTAATAAGCTACAAATCACTCAAATATTTCTAAAGAAAACAAATCATTTGTGTTTGAGAGTAAAAAAAAAAAGACATTAATTTATGAAAATAAATTAGCTTTTTTTATTTATAGACCGGGTCGGGTCATCGATTGAACCGACCGGGTCATCAATTTTTATGAAATCCGATCAGGTCGCACCGGTTCTGAAACATGGCCGGTCCAATATGAAAACTGGACCAGTTACATGACCGATTCACCAATTTCCGGGTCAACCCGGTTTTTTAACATTGGATAAGGGCACGTTGCATAGTGCTTGAGAATCATACATTGCTTGCAAGACCCAAACACAACCAAGTTAATACGTATACGCTGCATACGTTATTACGTACAACTACGAAAGCTAACGTTCTTATTAAAAAAGCACACCAACGATAGATAATTGTCACATTTTTTACTTAGAAACAATAAAGGGGGCTCATATAAACATACTCGACATCATTTCACGTCCCTAACTAATTTCTAACTATTTTGTCGTAATATATATAAAATACACAATACATTTACAAGAAAACTATTTTATATAAACTTGGTTCCTATATTAGACTCGACCTTGCTCGAGCCAATTTGCTTCGCTGGGACGCCGGAGAGATTGTTGACGAACGTGGAATCTAAAAAATTGACTTCAGCTTCTGTTCTTGCATTTTTCCAGTGCTCTCGGTGCTGTAAATCAGTAAATAACATTCAGACCTAGGGTCATTACACCACATTAATTCATTAAGATAAGATCTTTTGTTGTACCCAAAAAAAAAGATAAGATCTTTTGTGTTTGAAACTTAATTTGGATCACTAACCTAACCCGATTGCCTCAGATCCTTTCATAATGCGCACGCGCTTGCATGATTCCACGAACATTCTGCGAAATTATCTAATTTAGTAAGCAATAATTACATAGTAGAAATTATGGTACGAGAAAAAAAAAATTATATATATTAATGATGAAAAGAAGACTCACTCCCAGGGTACATCACCCACAAGCATCCAGTCTCCATCTTTGTCTTCATAAGTTGGTACGTAATCAGAGCCATTCAGAAGATCTATCAATTTGCTCTCATTTAGCAAGTCCTTCATGCCTTGGGATCCACATTTGCCATTGGTGAATGAACAAAACATTTTAGCCAGGGCATCTGACAGCTCTTGATAGCTCTTGTACAACTTCAAGTCCACCTTGCGTAAATAGGGTGCACCATCCATGCTCACCTTCACGAAAGCCGCTGCGGCATTGTTGGTGGTGGCTGCAGCAGTAGCTGCGGTGGTGGTGGTGGTGGTGGCGGCGGCAGCTGCTGCCACCTTCTTTTCTGCTTCGTTGTTGTTACTCCTTTGAACGTTAGCAATGTTCTTTCTGAATGACCGGACTGGTGGCCAACCCACCACTTGTGCCCTGCAAATTCAAGATTAATTACATCAACAAATTATTATCCTCATTCAAAATAAACAAGCAAAGGATCATTTTTATTTTTATTTTTTGTAATTAATCTAGGCTAGCTAAATATGGTAAATTATTAATCATCTGGCGTGAAACGGATTTACACAGAACAAGTAATTTCACCATCAAGGCAGAGTCATGTGGTTTGAGTTCACACTAGCTTTAAATTCAATAAAACAGATTATGGTTAAGTTTGGTATTATTCGGTATACAATAATTGCTTGTGTTGGGCACATGACTATGCAATAACATAATAATATTAGAGGGAGAGAGGGATGTGTTGCGTAACGCGTTAGGTGACCGGACAGGGGCGTGGACTATCCTTTTCCTTTTTGCCCCTTTTTTCCTTAGCTGGTTTGAGTCTGAGAAAATGTTAGGTGGATGACTATGAAAAAAGCAAGATTCCGTGTGTCTTGTCCTTTTCCACTGTCCACCCGACAATGAAGCATGCCATCCGCAAAGAAATCCAACCAAGCTTGCTTACCGTCCTATTCCTGGTCCTCATCCTCCATCACTCAATGCTTTTTTTTTTTTTTATTGCCGAAAATCTGGATGACATTATCTTTTTCTCCTCCAAATCCGGATGACTAATACATCTTAATTATACATTGTCCTTTTTACTTTTCCTTTTTAGTTGTTGCTTACTTAGTCTAACCAAAAAAGAAAAATACTAGAAACAACATCATGTGTTACCAATTGATCTAGAATGCCTAATTCAAATATCAAGTTCAGATCGGCCAATACCTAACCACTAGCAAACTCTAAAGTAGCTTCTGTTATATTTTAATTATTTTCAATGTAGAAGTTCAACAGATCATGTTAGACCGAAAATAATCCTCCCCTTTCCTTCATGAAATTTGAAATCTCTATAAACAAGATTAAGATTGCTTCCTCTGTCTCACTTATATGAAATGCGCATCATTTAATCGTTTCCTTAAGAGTTACGAATTGAACGAATTCAGTTAATGTTTAGTACTAAAAATCTACAGTCCCAAAGAACATCTAAATAATTTTTTTATTTTCCTTGAATAAAAAAAAGAAAGTAAAACATAAACATCACCCAGTTTCGAGTACTAATTTAAACTATAAAATCACCATGCATACAATAAACACTGAAGCAGACAAAAAAAAGCATCAAGAAACAGAGGAAGGAGGGAAAACTAACTTTGCAGGCGGTTTTGCTGGGTCGTTAGCGCGAGCAGGAGGAGCTGCAACAGTGGTAGCAACGGTCTTCTCTTTAGCCTTGTCGGCTGAGGCCAAGACATTATTTGATGAAAGATTAAGCTTCAAATCCACACTAGCACTGCTTGTCTCCGAAAAGCCTCTCTTTCCAGTGAAGGTACTACAAGTGTTCTTCAGTGTGGACTCTCCTTCGTTTCCATTCCGAGGCAGCCCGAGTCGCAACTCGGTTTCTTCGAAATTTATCATGCTGTACTTGTCTCGCTCTGACCCCATAACACTTGTCATTCCAAATTAACAACAACCTTCCGAATCAGTTGATCTCAGGACTCGGGTATATGCTACGCTATGCTTGGTTTTCTGGTTTGAGTTCAGAAACCTTAACTCCGTTTGAGAATTGAGGTTGAGATGTTGGGAGGAGAAAATGGTCTGCGGTTGGGTTAAGTTTTTGGTGATATATCGATTGAGAGTGCGGTGTGTTTTGAGGAACATCGGGTGGTGAACATGTTGCCACGTCTAAGAGATTCTTACGGTTAGATCATCCGCTTCTTGTTGGGTGATGATGTCACGGATGGTGTCATTATAATACATAATAATTGCGGTGTGCCTAGTTCACATCCTACTACTACTATCACCAATTATTAATTCCAATTACTAAATTTGATAAACAAGTTAAACACATTTCAATTAAGGGATAAAAATAATATATAAGATATATTACCAAAAATGGTATATACTAATATAAGAGATTTACACACACACAAAAAGTATATAAGAGATATTTTACAACCAGCATAGCTATGAGTTGTCTCTAGCTAGTGTGATGCTTTACTTTACTTTACTTTTTAAGTGTTTTTAATGTTGTCTGTAATTGAAATTGATTTAACTTCGGCATAAGCATCTTCGGTGAAAGAAGCTTTGCTCATGAAAATTCCCTTTGACTAAGCCTGTTTTGTGTGGTCCTCGAAACATCATAATGAAAATCACTACTATGTCAAGAAAAAAGATAAAAACTGCAATTGATGATTATGCTGAAAAAAGAGGGAAAGATAAGGTTTGCTATTTTTATGTTTGGCATTAAATCTTTTTCAATCTTTAATATACTTATCTTTTGTCCACTTTGCGTGGCGGCTATCTAAAGCGGCCCCCTAGGGAGGGTCCAACCACTGTTCTGGCTTTGAGGTCTCACTGTTGTCGACCATGCCTTAAAACATTACACATAACTTCAATACTTTTCAACCTTATTATCAAAACTAACTATATATATACAGTATACTTCACTTACAGTGCGGGTTCACATCCACATGGGTGTTGAGTTTTGGTTTGCATAAAAATTTGGGGTAATAATTACAATCAAATAAAAGCTTGGCACTCATAACCGTTCGAGTTCATATCAACAACTTTTTTGTTAGCAATTGCTTATATAATTTTAACTTATAGTGTGTGGTTAAATATATTTTTTTAAGTTATACACTTTTAATAATTTGAATCCTTAAAATTGCAGCCACTAATGTCTATTATGTTAGTATTGTTATACAATTATTATAATTTCTGAACGACTTACTTTGGAAAATAACTTCCTCTTTTATGTTTTTTCAAACCGTATTATTTATATCATCTTGTCGATGGTAGCTTATAAAGGGGGAACTCTCTCTCACATACACACTCTTTCTAAGCATTCTTTTCATTATTCATTTCAATGAAATGTTCTTCTAGACCATTATGGTCGTTTGACAAATCAAGTTCCACAAATAAAAATAAATCATTTCGTGTAAAACACACGATATCAGTAGGTTATCTATATTGCTCTTTTTCAAGTTGTCTTATTTTATCTCTTCAGATATTATATACTATTTATCATTGTTCTTGAATTTTTACTTAAACCAAAGACAATATGAAATGAACATATACGATATATGTTTGATTATTTTTAAGCAGCATTCTTATGACATTAAGACAAGAATAAATTTAATTTTTAAAAACATTTTAACATATTATTATGGGAAAAAAAAGGCTTATGTTGTAGAAAATTTATAATCTCATGTTAGACATATAATAAGTGCAGGGTCTCTCTATTAAAAAAACAGAAAAAAAAAGTGGCACACCTTCTTATGGTATCTGCAAGAAAGATTTATTTTCTCCTATAACATGAGAAAAACAAACTCTTATTATTATACTAAAACCTCTTCCGTTCTTTTTGAAATATAATGTATTCACCACAAAAAATATACATAATAATTTAAAGGGGAAGCATCCGTTTATAAAAAATTTTGAATTTTTTTTACAAATTACACTATGTTCTCTTTGGAGAACATAGTGAAACTAGTGTTCTCCCGAAAAAATATAATGTAATTTGTAAATAAAAAAATTTATAAATATAACATGCCCTTAATTTAAAAGTGAAAGTTATTTTAGTTACGTGCCACGTTCTTTGGAATTATTATTGGATATAAAATACAAATAACAAGAAATCTTAATTGGTTAAACCATATTTACAGGAGGGATATCATGACTTGTACGACACTTATTAGATCACCTTTGTCCTTTTATATTTTATATAAGAATTAGTTTGTACATGACATAAAATTAGCTCCGCTACAAGGTAATTATTTTGGGTAATAACGACCATTTAAAGGCATGGGAGAGTTATTCAGTTTTTCTTAGGGAGGTGACCACGAGGGCTAGTGTGCAGATGCAGTACCAGATTACCCCTGCATGCATGACAGACTGTAGATATAACATGCCAAGCAAGCAACCAAACGAGAATTTAATCTATGCGCTCGAATATTAGTTCGATTCTCACATATTATTTTTTGAAGAATTTAAATATTTTTATTTTTGACTCATTTTGTACTTTAAATTAGTCTTATAACTGACTTAAAATGTCAAAACTTATAATTATAAAAATACGAAAGAAAATTAACTCATCTCAAAAAAATAATTAAAATTGAATTAATTTCAAAAGAAAATATATCCCTTAAAAAAGTGTAACTGACCTAAACAAAAAAACAGAGAAATTGAGAATGACAGATACAGACCCAAACTGAATGGGCTATGCCAACTAATACAGACCCACAAAGTCATGACCCCTCGTGTGGCTATGGCCCTATCTACATCATCCTTGTCCAAGTCCCAGGCTCCACACGTGTGCTGTCACGCCAGACTTGGTTCTCCCCCTATATAAAATCCATAAAAACTCTTTTATGTCACCGCACGTGTGACATTTGTGTGCTGACGTTGACGTTAAACAACAACTATTTTATTGTATTTTTATTGGGTTTTATTATTTTCCTTCAACATAAGATAGGTATCTTATGTTGTAGAGATAAAATGGGTGGGTCCCACCATTACAAGAAAAAAGAAAAATGTGAGGTGCAGAAATCGAAGAGAGAGATTAGGAGAGAAGTAATCTTATGCAAAAGGAAAGTAATATTTCCCATTTTTATTATTGTTTAATTTCTATACGATCAGACATAAATGATCGTAATTCAATTATTTGATCAATAAAAAACATATTTTATGTAAAATAATTCAATGCTGTAAAAATATTAAATCTTATATCGTGTAAATCGATTCCTCCTTATATAGACATATGAAATATATATGAAAGTTTATATTATATATATTATACTTATAAAAATTTATATTGTTTCTAAATGATTTAATACTTCATGGATATATATGGGTTTTACGTTTGTTATGTTATATAACATAATTTTATTTTTCTACACACACAACAAACAACAAAGGTAAGAGAGAAAGTGAAATGATAAAAGAGAAACAAAAATATGTGAATCTCACTTCTTTATTGTGTGTAATAAAGTAGAGTTGTGTTATATAACATATAACAAACATAAAATCTTATATATATAAACAGAAAAATATTTCTGCAGTTAATGCAGATAAGTTATCTGCATTTACTTCTAAAACGACGTCGTTTTGGGATTGAAAAATTAGAAAATTATAATTATAAAGACTATAATAACTCTAAAATAAATTAAAATTACAAAAATATCATGATTTTAGCCTCAAAACGATGTCGTATTAGGCTTACTGCAAATAACTTATATGCAGTAACTGCAGAAAAAGCAAACTCATATATAAAATAAAATTTGTTATATTATGTAAAAACAATAAATACTTAAATATATTTTAATTGTTACTATATTTTTTAAGATTTGACACAAATAATCAAGACAATAAATATATATAATTTATGAAAAGTTAAAATATCCCTCCCTTAGTTTATTCTAAAATCATTTATCCCATGATCTTGTTATTAATCACTTGTCTATCTTATAAGATTTTTTAATTTAGCTCATTCTTAATGCTATTAGGGGGCGTTTGGTAGAGGAGAAAAAAAATTTTATCCGAGAATCACGATTTCTAGAAATATGATGAGAAAATGAGTTTTCTGAAAATATTACTAAAAAGTTGTTTGGTAGACTAAAATATTCTCAGAAATATTGGATTAACTTTCTTGATGCTATTTTTAGTTGTATTAAATTTTTCCTTGCCATATAAATCATAAAATATCATCCCTGTATAGTATTCTTTGATGGTATTTTCAAAAAAATTACACACAAAATAAAATCCCAAAAAAATCAGATTCCCGTGAAAATTTGAAAAATCGTGTACCAAATATGGATAAATATGATTACCGTTTTCAATATTCCAAGAATCCTAAAATAAATCTTGTAACAAACGCCCCTAAGAAGTTATATAGATTATCCATTTTATCCTCGTAAAATAATAAACGAAGCATGAACAACTGCGGTGCGAGAAAGCTAGATATCAAGTAGAGGAATTTGGGTTAAGAAAAATTATTTTATAATAATCATAATAGTGAATATTCGCTCGTGAACAATCAATATGAAAGAAACATATTATTTACAAAGCAAAAAGTTGTTTTTTCAACATGAAACTTGCTACAGGGGTGTAAACGAGTCAACTAAGTCAAGTTTTAGTCTAAATGAGTTAAGTTTGTGCAAATTATTTTAAACTTGTTTTGGCTTATTAGCTTTATACAGGTTAAATTATAAGCTTGGTTTAACTTATTTTTTAAGAAACACAAGGTTTGGCTTGACTTATCAAGCTTACTAAATCTTCAAAAACGACATGTTGCACTCCGTAAAATATAATATATAATTATTTTATTCCTTTTGTTTGTTTAACTTGGTGGAATGTATCTATTTTCTATGCACACAACAGTTCAAACTATTAACAATTTAACTATAAATCAAAAACAAAAAAAATGACAAGGAAGCAAAAGGCTTACAAGATATATATATGCATTAAATACCTGTAAGTCAAATAACATGCTATTTTTTTAATAGAAATTTTGGAAAAAATAAGAGTTTTGTCAATGAAATAAAAAAAGAGAGAGAAAAATACAAAGAATTAGAACTTACGATCAATTGTGAAAGTCTTGAGAGTCG